GGTCACGATAGCTCAAGTGGTAGAGCAGCGGCTTATCTAGCCGAAGATCGTGGGTTCGAATCCCGCTCGTGCCATTGACTTTTTTATCTCAACTAAAAACCTTAATTAATTGTTTTATAAAGTCTGTTAAGTCTAAGGCCAAATCCGGGAGACATTTCTATACAAGCAGTTGGCTGGCTATCAAATTTTATAAAATCATAGTTATAGATATTTCATTTGGAGGCGGGTAAAAGTTAGAATTTTGTTTTCAAATAACTAATTTTCTTCAGTTGAGCGTCCTGAGATTTTAATGCAATTTGTATCGACTATTGCCTTTTGCACACAATCCATCACATCGGTGCTCGGCTTCGTTGAACGTGACCCATCAGATTAACAGCCCATCTGATAGTTGGATCATTGACCGGATCGATATGTTTTATGTGCAGGGTGAAACCACCGGCGACGGTACTGTTCCGCTACAGCAAATAGCCATCACCTGCTTCACACTCGGTTATTCGGAGTCATCTGGCCACTAAACACAACCGCTAACAGTACGTTAAGAAATTGTCCCTCTCTTTCTCGAACAGTTGGAAGCTATACAACAGCCATATTAAGTTACCCATCCCCCGAAAAATGTATTAATCAAATAAATAAATACAAATGACATAATCGCGTGTTGTTCAGTTGAAGTTGGCATGGTAATGAACCTTTGGTTTTGTCGTCTCGAATCATCTTGTTCAGTTTTTATTAAAAATAAAAAATACGAATTAAAGAATTAAAATTATAATACAAAAATTGCAGAATATCATCTTTTTGTTCAGAAAGATAGGGCAAGTTAAAAGGAATATCTTTTATTGACCAGGTATACACGAAAAACTCATTTTAAAATTTAGGAAAAATGACAGAACACAAAGATATCATTTGGGCTTCCTGGAATCTTTTAATTATTCAAGGATTGCTCTTTTTATAATTATCATACAATAGTTCTTTTAATCGTAATAATACTTACTGTTTGAGTTATATACTGTAGCAATACTGCTATACAATGGTTCAAATATTCGGAAATCACTGTATGACACATAAAATATATATATAATATGAAAACTATCAACATCACTGGGATGTATAATCTTCACGGAAATATCATCATATACATACACGTGTTGTAGCATGTAAAGATTTCCTTATTTATTCAGTGCTACTACATTAGTGTTTTATATCTTGTTTATGGAACGGTATATCAACGTGCATTTTTTCCCTTGATGATTGTATTTCAGTTAGGTCCAAATTTTAAAACCGTCAAAAAATAGTGGTTTTTAGTGTTTTTTTACGTTGGATATGTGATTCCACTGGTAGCTTCATCGTTGGTGTCGGACAATTTTCTTTTTCTTTCGTGATTTCCTTATTTGGAGAGTGTTAATATATTACTGCTTTGTGGTTAGTTATAAAAATATTATACCATATTTTGATAGTTTTATTATATTGTTATTATTTTCTAAGAAGGAACATATTATGAACACTCTCATTAAGTAAGAGGGCTACGCCCACTGTTCATTTTTTTATTTTCTATATTTGGACAGTTTTTATTATATTGATATTATTTTCTAAGAAGAAACATATTATGAACCTTCTCATTAAGTAAGAGGGCTACGCCTACTGTTCATTTTTTATTTTCTATATTTGGACAGTTTTTATTATATTGATATTATTTTCTAAGAAGAAACATATTATGAACACTCTCATTAAGTAAGAGGGCTACGCCTACTGTT